TTGGAGGTGGCTGCTGTGGAAAGAACATACCCAATGTATGCCTGGCGCGACATATGGGAACGTCTCCGGAAGTTGAGCATTAGTCCGGGTGTGCGAGAGGTGATGTATCGCTTTTTACACGGGATTCTGCCGTCTGGGATCGTCTTATTCAATCGAAAGCTCAGGGAAGGTGGGGAGTGTCGAGCGTGTGGTGAAGCAGAAACCATTTTTCATGTTGTATATTTTTGTGAATGCATAGGCAGGGTCAGGGAATTGTTAGGAAGGGTAATTCGATTTATGGGAGGGGGTGGGTTGCAGGTATTGCGAGTGTTAAGTTTAGATATTGATGAGGTGGGAGCGCAGGTTCAAAACACAGTGGCATATCTGGTAACTGATTTCGTGTTCACATCATGGGCAATGAGAGATGTTGGAGAGGGTGAAAGGATAAAGGTGCTGGCAGCGACATTTTACAGATCTAAGTGTCGCAATCGGGAAGTATGTGGTAGGAGATGGAACACTGAATTTACAGAGGGTTATAGGAAGTTTCGGCTGCGTGATTTATGGAATTTGTAGGTCAATGGGAAGCAACGGGCTAGCCTCCCGTTCTGAGGCGTGTGGGTGTGAGGGCAAGAATGTAGGTGAGGTACGTATGATATTGAGTAATATATTGAAGAGTGCGTGAGGGGAAAGCGCATTACACTGTTTGTATGACACCATTGTTTGATTTAAGGTGTTTTTTCTTGGCTATGATGGTGCAGTGATGGAAACGTATGTTTACATAAATATGTAGGTGCGTGAGTGTGTATATATGTGTGCATATGTACTGAAATATTCATAGATGTATTTATAAATGTATACACGTGTGTGCGAGGGCATGTTTGAACAGGAGAATATACATTAAGGTGAGGAGTTTCATTTGTTCATAATTTATCCATTGTGAAAATTGAACTAAATATAAGCTGATCTACAGGATTGTTTTTGGTTTTAGCGCTGTATAGCCCTTGTGGCTTAGCGCTTTTTTTGATTATCTTAATAATATTTTGGATTTGGAGTATAATTATTACAAATGTCAGTAACGTGACTATTGGCATAATATATTTAACAAGTGTAATGCCTGTTGAGGTGTATGTGTTTTAGCTGTATTTAGTAGTTAACATTATTGTGTCATGTAGGTACTGAATTTAGGTGTTTTATTCTACATTGTCTGCGTAAAAAGGTGCCACTTGTTTTAGATCGTTGAATTAGCGTCTATTACTTTTAGGTTTATGGGAGATAACAGGAAGCACACTTCACCCAGCAGGGTGGTCGGTGTGCGCACCGAATTATCTAGATTCCATACGAAGAATGTCTAAATTGGATGATATGATCGTCAGTAGCGAGTTGTGAATGGTGTTGTGTAGGATGTAATGGCAACGAGTCAGTACACATATTATCCTTGTAATCAAAAGTGAAAAAAATGAGTATGTTGGTTAATATTCAATGTATGAGTGGACAGTGACATAATGGTGAGGTGTGTGTTGGTGTGTCGTGTATATATTAAAGGTCAGGAGAACGGGGTTTATTTTTATATTCTGGTCAGTGAAAGTATACTTTTTGAGGGGTACTGTAATTTTGTTTTGTATCATTCTTATAATTACTCACAGGTGTGAGTGAGTATCGGTTGTGTAAGTTATATTCAGCTTTGTACTTTCATGATGTCTCATTGTAGTAACCCAGTAGATTGAGTACTGGAACCATTACTTATAGTTCGTGTTTGTTTCTTTTTCTATTTGTACTTGTTTATGTACAATTCTGTATGAAGGATTAATAATATAAAAATAACAAAGTGGAAAATAAATGCATATTGTAGGTTTGGTGCTTCTTTGTTTATAGTAATAATAATACATATTGTAATGTAGTCTTGTGTAATCTTGCTTAACATAGCTGCATGAGATATAATGCGTAGAGGATGAGGGACAGTTTGTGTCAGCACAAAGTTAAACGTCTGTGTGTATTTTGACAATGTAATTTATAATTCTGTGTAAGAACTGATATTGTGGTTTTTTATCTATTTAATGTATTGTATTGTTTTAAATAAAAAAAATCTGAAACCAAGACAACACAGTTGTGATAAATGGTTTAAAACCGACAAATTGAAGATTGATGGACTGAACACATCGACACCAGGCTGGGGGACTGATTACTTCAAACTCCTCCTCTCCTTACACCCTTCTGATTTGTATTGGACTGATGAAGCCACTGTGTCTCTTCAAGACAACAGTGCATAACTGTTTGTAATAAAGCGAACAGAATTCTTAGCTTCCAATCAAGAATTGTAAATAACAGAATTCCTTAAGTTATTCTTCAACACGATTGTTTCTTATGCCTCATTTACTGATGATGTGAATAAATGGTTTACAAAACCGACAAGTTGATAAATGAAATGTTTCGTCACACAGTGGCCTCTTCGGTCCAATGTAGAAAAAAGGTGAAAGATGAGAAGGGTTTGAAGTAATCAGTTTCTCAGCCTGGAGTCCCCTCAAGGAAGGTTCCTTGATGTTGGTGAGGGGCTCTTGATTTAGGGAATTGGATCTGTGCTCCAGTTCCCCGAATTAAGCCTGAATGCCTTCCACATCATCCCCCCAGGCGCTGTATAATCCTCCGGGTTTAGCGCTTCCCCCTTGATTATAATAATAATAATCAGCCTGGAGTCGATGTGTTCAGTCTATCAGTCTTGAAAAAAGTGCAGCATATTCGCAGAGAAGGGGCTTATATACTAATGACAGATGAGGTGGAGCAGTGGTAGGCGGAGTCACCAGTGAACAAAGCCACTAGGTGGGTCATGTCTATAGATTACACAGCTGTATAGCCCTTGTGGCTTAGCGCTTCTTTTTGATTATAATAATAATAATAATAATATAGATTACACAAGTTGTGAAGAAATCCCTGCATCAAGATTCCAAGATGTTGCTGTGTCTGACAGGATATGAATAAATGGTTTACAAAAGCGACAAGATGATAAACAAGACACTTGTTTCTATATTGGGTATTTGTATTCTGGAAACGTTTCGCTACACAGTGGCTTCTTCAGTCACCGTGTTACAGAATGGATATAAATGTGCTGGCAAACGTGCAAAGATGGATGACTAATTTGATCCCATGTATCAGAAATCTTTCCAATGAGGACTGACTGAGGGCCCTGAATCTACACTCTCTAGAAAGGCGTAAAATTAAGAGGGATATGACCGAGGTGTTTAAATGGAAAACGGGAATAAATAAGGTGATGTAAATAACGTGCTAAAGGAATCTAACTAAGACAGGACTCGCAGCAGTGGATACAAGTTTGAAAAAGTTAGATTTAGGAAGGATTTAGGATGAATGGAACAAACTCCCGAGTAACGTCACTGAAGCTAAAACGTTATGTAGTTTTAAAAATAGGTTAGACAAATACATGTATGTGTGTAGGTGGATGTGAGCTTCTTATTAAATGGATGCGGCTTGGACTTGACTGGCCTTGGCGAGTAGGTGAATTAGACCTGTCTAGCAAGGGTCAGTAGGCCTACTGCAGAACTCCTTCTTACTTATCATCTTATTTTTAATCTGGGTTCCATGAACGAAAGATGGTTTTTTTCTGAACTGAAATATAATGAAGGAATTTGAATGGAATTAATCAAAAGATGGCAGAGAAGGTCTGGAGTGCAGTACTCTGAACGTTCCTAAAGTTAGCAAATATTTGGAGGATCTTTTGACATTTTTCACCAACTATTTATATGAGAGTTTTTACAACACTTCTGTACATAAAAACAAAGGTTAGTAACCGTCTCGAAGCAATTGTTGAAATTCGCATGAATATTATTAAAAAAATTCCACATTTTCAACATCAAAAATGAACTTCAACAAAAAAACAGCCCGTAAACCATACAAATCTCTTTTTTCCTGTTTATAAATGTATGAATGTAAGCTTTTAATCACTACTATAACATTCATCTATTTCACTCTTATATTTAGTTTTGTTTTAAATGGAAACAAGGTTTACGAAAATTATTATAGTTTTAAATTATTTTTGATAGGATTGATACGAAAAAATATTAAGAATTAATGTGATACAAACATTTAAAAAAGTTAAGAACCACTTGTTTAAATGAAGCCAAGTTTGCTTAAACAATCTTCTGCCATTATGAAAGTCATCCCACAGATCATGGTGAGGGAAGGATGGTTATCATGGGGAGGGAAGGATGGTTATCATGGTGAGGTAAGGAAGGTTATCATGGTGAAGGAAGGAAGGTTATCATGGTGAGGGAAGGAATGTTATCATGGTGAGGGAAGGAAGGTTATCATGGTGAAGGAAGGAAGGTTATCATGGTGAAGGAAGGAAGGTTATCATGGTGAGGGAAGGAAGGTTATCATGGTGAAGGAAGGAAGGTTATCATGGTGAAGGAAGGAAGGAAGGTTATCATGGGGAGGGAAGGAAGGTTATCATGGTGAGGGAAGGAAGGTTATCATGGTGAAGAAAGGAATGTTATCATGGTGAGGGATGGAAGGTTATCATGGCGAGGGAAGGAAGGTTATCATGGTGATGTAATTGAGGTTATCCTGGTAAGAAAGTGGCTGAAGCTATTTTGAACAAAAGGAAGGGGACACTATCCTGGTGATGGATTGAAGAGAGTTAGAACAGAAGGGCTCTATGTAGTATATGATAGGGAGGGGAAGACAAGGGAGTTTTGAAGAATAAATGAAGATGGAGGGGAAGACTGAAGAGGTGCTGCCTATTATATCAATAGATAATATCAGACTAGATAAATGCATCTCAATAAATGAAGGGGATGGAGCGGCCAAGATGGGTTCATCGTAAAATGTGAAGTAGTGAGAGGGCTGCCAAGATAGGTGCTACCAAATATATGAAGGGGAGGGACGAGCTAGATTGCTGCCACGTGATACATGACTGGGAGGGACAAACTATGGGTGGGGGGGGGGTGACAAGTGTAGAAGCACACCTGGGAGGGAGACCGGGGTTTACTATGTGAAAAGGATTCAGTGTCAACAGATAAGCTTGCGTGTCGGAAGTATTCCTCTGTGTCCTCTCCTTTTACAGAGTGAGAGACTTCTAACTTACGTTAGCCAACTAGATATCTGATACAGAAGAGAAAGAAAATTGCAAGAGATACGGAATCATGCCGCGAGGTAAGGAATATTGGAGGATAAATGTAACTGAATGCTTATATTGATGTATGAATGAATTTGTGAGTGAGAAAATAAACAGGTAAACAGATGTGTTAATGAAATAATAGAAGTACGGAGTTGATCATATATATACCTAAACCCGGGACTAAGTATCCTTGAGTCTAGTTCCGTTCCTCTCTGCAACATCTCAGTGCCAGTCAACACGACTGGTATCACAGTATATTATAGATGCTTGACAACTCAACTACCTCGTAGACATCTCTTGCTCCTTCATCAGATAGTTTAATTACACTTCTCAATAAACATACCAAGATGTGTTCTACCTCACCCCACTTCAAGAGATATATTACCAATTTCCCTCGAATACGGCCCACAACAATCCACCAACACACAGGTAATTATTTAGCATTTCGAGAACAGTGACAGCAGGCACGAGGAGACTTGGCCATATGTCTCAACATCAAGTAAGTTTACCAAAAATTTTATGTATCATCAGTATTATTATGATCATCATGAATTGAAGAAAGAACAAGGAAAGAAAAAAATACAAACAGTTTCTGTGTGAGACCTTGTTATTATATAAAATATACGCTATTGATATTATTGGCGCAGCTGTTTAAATATATTACCTCCACCATCTGTTATATACATATATGCAAATATATTTATTTATTGGTAATTTGTATCGTATTCGTGATTTGAAAGATAAAGATACGGTGCAAGAATGTAACTGGTATAAAAATAAAAAAGAATGAAAAAATATATAACAAATTCACTTGTATATTTGTCATTACACTTACACACACACACACACACACACACACACATATACACACACACACACACACACACACACACACACACACACACACACCACACATACACACACACACACATACACATACACATACACACACACACACACACACACACACACACACACACACATACACACACACACATACACATACACATACACACACACACACACACACACACCACCCCACACACACATACACAAAAAAAAGGGGTGCCCTAGAGGAGGGAAAACCAGAGATCTGGTAGACGAACCAGGGGGAAAGACTGGGAGTTAGAGCTCCAAAAAAGGGAGGAAGAGGGGAAGGAAGATAGTAGAGCTGGAAAGAAAATGGAGGAGCAGATAGCTGAAAGTGCGGGAAGTGGAAGTACAGGCTAGCAGCAAAGCTAGGATACAGTGCTTAGAAGAGAAACGCAAAGCCTGAAACAGATTAGAGAGACAAATGACAATTCAGATGTGACATCAGGAAATTCAATGTCAGCGCAGACAAGGGATGGTAAGCAAAAACGGAGACATGCCGTACACGAAGGCCCTATCAGACCCACGGGGGCGAGGGAAAAGACAGGAGCACACTAAGATAAAATGACAGGTCCGAAGACAATAAAGGGTATGCTATATGCAAGATTCTAACACCAACTGCAGTAGCAAGGACAGCTGGTCATAAAGACAGTTCACTGAGAATAGAAGTTTCAGATATGACAGGGACTGAAGGCAAGAACATGTCAATGGAAGGAAATAAAATGCCTCAGGGGAAGCAAATGGAGACTCATGGAGGAGAAAGGGCGAGGTCAGTTTTTTGTATATGGGCTCCAAGAAGCCCAAGGGGGACAACTTTGAAAAATAAAACAGGAGGAGAAAAAATGATTGAAGGCATCATGAAGACAATAGGTGAGGACGATATGACCCAGGGGACAAATTTTCAGAGAATGGGGGGTTTGCGAGTGGAAGGGTACGCCTGTCAGAGTAACTTCAAGGAAGAATCATTCGAACCAGGATTCCGCAAGAGAAGCAAGACCGAGGACAAACAGGGGGTTTCCAAGAGTATACCTCGACCGCGACAGAACACAAGAAGAAAGGACTACACTGAAAGAGAGGGTACAGAGACCAAGGAGGAACGAGAGGCAATGACGAAAATGAGCAGGACCCAGACACAGGAGGAAGGGCAAACACACCCCACTGAATCTCCCACCAAAAGACTCCAACCGCACATTCCCAACGCAACTGAGCAACCTATACTACAACCACTCACTGTTCCCTCTGCCACCAACCCCCATATCACAAACCCACCCCAACAGTTTGTCCCTTATGGGCATTCTGACCCCACCCCCACCACAAACCCCACCTACCCCACAGCCCCATATAGGCCCCCCACCAAGGCTCTCGTTTCCCCCAACCCCAATATTCTTGCATGACCAAAAATGATAGAAAAGAAACTGAAAGTTGGTACACAAACGCGGATGGAATAACGAATAAACATAGGGGAACAAAAAGAATCATGAAAAATCCCCAGACATCATAGCAGTCACAGAAAAAAAAACTCGCTGAGACAATAACAGACACAATCTTCCCAACGAGATATCAGATCCTGAGGAAAGATAAGGAGTAGAGGGGGAGGAGGGGTTGCACTGCTCATAAAACACCGAGGGGGATTTGAGAAAGGGAAGGCATGGACATAAATTGGGGAGAAAGAGACTACATTGTAGGTACAATTCAGAATGGAAAACCCATAAAGTAGTCATTGGAGTGATGTATAACCCACCACAGAACTGCAGGAGGCCAAGAGAGGAGTACGAAGAAAACGACAGGGTGATGGTGGACACATTGGCTGAGGTGGCAAGAAGAGCTCACTCGAGCAGAGCAAAGTTACGGGTAATGGGCGATTTAACCACGGGGAGATCGACTGGGAAAACCTGGAGCCACATGGGGTCCCGAAACAGGGAGAGCCAAGATGATGGATGGGTACTTGAAACCCCATGCATCAACATGTCAGGACACAACCAGAGAGAGAGGGGAGGATGACCAGCAAGACTGGATCTTGTGTTCACCCTGAGCAGTTCAGACATTGGGGACATCACTTACGAGAGGCCCCTTGGAGCTAGCGACCCACGTGGTTCTGATTTTTGATTATAGTAGAGTTACAAGTGGAGAAGGTAACAGGAACTGAAGGGGACGGGCCAAACTAAAAAAGGGGGGGACAACACACGTATGAGAAACTTCCTGCAGGAGTTTCAGCGGACAGAGAAATGGTAGGAAAATCAGTAAACGAGATGATGGAATATGTGGCAACAAAGTGCAAGGAAGCAGAGGAAAGTTTTGTTCCCAAGGGAAACAGAAATAATAGGAAGACCAAAACGAGTCCTTGGTTTACCCGAAGGTGTAGGGAGGCAAAAACTAAGTGCAACAGAGAATGGAAAAGGTACAGGAGGCATAGGACCCAGGAAAACAAGGAGATTAGTAGAAGAGCCAGAAACGAGTATGCACAGATAAGGAGGGAGGCCCAGCGACAGTATGAAAACGACATAGCATCGAAAGTCAAATCTGACCCGAAACTGCTGTATAGCCACATAGACCAGGTGATAAGGCTGAGGAAAGAAGGTGGAGAACTCACAAGAAACGATCAAGAGGTATGTGAGGAGCTCAACAGGAGATTTAAGGAAGTATTTACAGTAGAGACAGGAAGGACTCTGGGGAGACAGACCAGATGGGGACACCAGCAAGGAATACACCAACAAGTGTTGGACGACATACATACAGATGAGGAGGAGGTGAGGAAACTGCTAAGGGACATCGATACCTCAAAGGCAATGGGACCGGACAACATCTCCCCGTGGGTCCTTAGAGAGGAAGCAGATATGTTGTGCGTGCCACTTACCACAATCTTCAACACGTCCCTGGAAACTGGGCAACTACCTAAGGTATGGAACACGGCAAATGTAGTTCCCATTTTTAAAAAAGGAGACAGAAAAGAGGCACTAAACTATAGACCTGTGTCATTGACGTGTATAGTATGCAAAATTATGGAGATTATCAGGAGGAGAGTGGTGGAGCACCTGGAACGGAACAAGAGTATAAATGCCAACCAGCACGGATTCACGGAAGGCAAATCCTGTGTCAGAAACCTTCTGGAGTTTTATGATAAAATAACAGAAGTAAGACACGAGAGAGAGGGGTGGGTTGATTGCATCTTCTTGGACTGCAAGAAGGCCTTTGACACAGTTCCTCACAAGAGATTAGTGCAGAAGCTAGAGCATCAGGCGCATATAACAGGAAGGGCACTGCAATGGATCAGAGAATACCTGACAGGGAGGCAACAACGAGTCATGGTACGTAATGATGTATCACAGTGGGCACCTGTGACGAGCGGGGTCCCACAGGGGTCGGTCATAGGACCAGCGCTATTTTTCGTATATGTGAACGACATGATGGAAGGGTTAGACTCAGAAGTGTCCCTGTTTGCAGATGATGTGAAGTTAATGAGGAGAATTAAATCTGATGAGGACCTGGCAGGACTTCAAAGAGACCTGGACAGACTGGACACCTGGTCCAGCAAATGGCTTCAGAAGACCACAGACAGAGTATAGGCTAGGTGGCCAAAGACTGCAAACCTCACTCAAGGAGAAAGATCTTGGGGTGAGTATAACACCGAGCATGTCTCTGGAAGCACACATCAATCAGATAACTGCTGCAGCATATGGGCGCCTGGCAAACCTGAGAACAGCATTCCGATACCTTAGTAAGGAATCGTTCAAGACACTGTACACCGTGTATGTCAGGCCTATACTGGAGTATGCAGCACCTGTTTGGAACCCGCACTTGATAAAGCACGTCAAGAAACTAGAGAAAGTACAAAGGTTTGCCACAAGGTTAGTTCCAGAGCTAAGGGGAATGTCCTATGAAGAAAGATTAAGGGAAATCGGCCTGACGACACTGGAGGACAGGAGGGTCAGGGGAGACATGATAACGACATATAAAATACTGCGTGGAATAGACAAGGTGGACAAAGACAGGATGTTCCAGGGAGGGGACACAGAAACAAGAGGCCACAATTGGAAGTTGAAGACACAAATGAGTCAGAGAGATATTAGGAAGTATTTCTTCAGTCATAGAGTTGTAAGGCAGTGGAATAGCCTAGAAAATGACGTAGTGGAGGCAGGAACCATACACAGTTTTAAGACGAGGTTTG